TCTTGAACTACTGAATGAGTTTGAATGGTGAGCTAACGATAATTAGAGTCTCTAACTCTAGTCTAACTCTAAACTCTGCTGAATGGCACTGTGATAAAAATTATGGATGAAAGATGGGAGTTTTTGAGAATGTGGATAGTTTAATTTTAGAATAGAGACTTTCATTTACAAACATTGGCAATCCGCCCTGTTTACCACTAAATGGTTGAGAGAATATTTTGTCATACTTGCAGATCTTTTGCTTTTTGTGGATTTGTGATACAAACACAATTTATTTATCCTTTATGAGTGAATAACATCATCACAGGCATGACCAAAAGAAAAAAACAAGGAAAAAAACATTCTCAATTGTCAACAGTCTTGTCATTTTAAATTTGCCTCTTTGTATTTGATTTTTCTACATTTATTTGAAATATATCAGTTAAAGAACGAATGTTCAGAATTTAGACTTCAATTGCAGGAAATTTTATTAAAGCAATTTAGCGAGAGCAACGCAAAACCAAAAGCAAATAGTAAAAATCACAAAACCGTAATCAGCCTACTTCAGCTATACTGAGCTAGTTAACCTTCTCTGAGCTAATGCTGATTTTGTTCTTGTCTTTTGTGAGGAGAGGTTTGAGAAAGGATGAGCATGTCTGGATCCAAAGATGCACTTATCCCAGTGTTCCTAGTTGATGATAATTACTCAACAGGGAAGCAGCACATAATCCAATTTTTCATTTATATATTGATAAAACATATTCTTCTATTTATCTTTTAATAAAGAACAAAAATGTTTTGTAATTAGAAAAAAAATTAAAAGACTATTTTGCCTCAGTCAAAATCAGCATCACTCAGACTTTAAGCTCAATTTAAGATGAATATGACATAAAAACACAAAGAAATCAATCAGAATCAGAGAAGAAAAGAAAAGAAGACCAAATCAATCAGTGTCACCAACGAATGTGTTCTTAACACAGACTGCTACATATAAAATAATTTTTCTACTCAATGTGATTAATGGGAGTGAGGAGGAGAGGTGCAGAGTTTTTGCCATTGTCATTATTACAGGGATTGAAGTATGAGTAGAGTTTCTCAGTGAAGGAGCAGCCAGTAAAGGAGTAGATAAGAGCTGCTGCATCTATGTCATAAAAGGAAACCACACCCTCCTCATAATCTACAAACACTCCCACCTTCTCAGGACCAGACGGACGACAGAGACAGACATCATGATCATCGAGAGCTTTGTACTCATCCATCCTCGAGACTAAGAGTCATTATTTTCTTCCTGTCGATCGACTCTCTGGCCACTCCCAATTCCTAGTCAGTCTTTCTTTTAACTTGAGCCTCATAGTAAAATCTGCCTGAAGAGAAACTCTGCTTTCCTAAAACACAAACACAGTAAGAAAATCTCTCCGGGTTGTCTGGAAGATTCTGATTTTCATCTCCATGATTCACTTGTTTTCCATCATCAGACAAGATGAGCTCAGGATGTGCTGTATCAGGATCAAGACTCACATCCACAGCATACTGCTGGACCCTCCTCAGCTCAGCCTCAAACAGCTTCTTCATTTCTATCCTCAGTGTCTCCTCCAGCTGAGCCACAGCTCTCATCACAGTCCCCTCATATGTTGGTGGAAGGACGATGACCTCTGTCCAGTCCTTGGTAGGTGGAACAGCTTTCAGAGATGAGAAGCTTTGAATAAAGTGGAGGTGGTCTTCAGAGCATATTAGATTCTTCACCTCAGAGCTCCTCTTCTTTAGCTCTGAGATTTCCTCTTCCAGCTCTTTGCAGAGATCTTCAGCCTGTTTCTCTGTTGTTTCCTGTTTGTCTTCTATCTCCTTTATGACCTTCTTCAGGCCTTTCTCAATAAACTCCTTCAGAACAGTGAAGATCTGAACACCTTCTGTTTTCTGTTTCTCTGCAGCATCTTTACTCATCTTCACTGACTCATTGATCTCCTGAATCTTCTGTTGCCTGTTCTCAATCATTTCCTGAATTTCATCATCCATTTTCCTCAGCTCTGTCTTCTTTTCTTCAGATTCTTCTCTCAGAGGTACAAACTCATGAGTCTTGTGGTCTAAAACAGAGCAGAGCGTGCAAACACTTGTCTGATCGGTCTTACAGAACAGCTCCAGATGTTTATCGTGCTTCGTACACATCCTGCCTTCCAGGTTCTCCACAGGCTCAATCAGCTGATGTCTTTTCAGACCTTTGCATGTCAGATGAGGTTCTAGGTGAGTCTCACAGTAGGAGGTCAGACACACCAGGCAGGACTTCAGGGCCCTCAGTTTGGTTCCAGTGCAGATGTCACAGGGAACTTCTCCTGGTTTGGCAGCTTGTTGCTCTGAGCTGCTCCTCCTGGCTTTCTGTTGAGTTTCATCTCTGAACTAAGCAACTACCTCAGAGAACAAAGTGTTAACCTTCAACAGAGGTCTACAGTAGAAAGCTTCTTTGCACATGGGGCACTGACAAGGAACATTTCTATCCCAGTGCTAAGTGATACACTTCTTACAGAAGTTGTGTCCACATGGTGTGGTGACTGGATCAGCGAACACATCCGGACAGATGGAGCACAGAAACTGATCTTCAGATCGCAGATTACTGGCAGCAAACATATCTGCACTCTGGGAACAAAAGTCAAAGCATGATAAGTTAAAGTCTAACAATTTTCTGTGAGTGGTTTAGAACTGTCAAAGTGGGATCATGACAGCAATTTCAGATGAGGCAAAGAACTTGAAAAAATCTTCAAGGTATAACTATCTTATGTTGCATGGAGTCCAAAAATCACAGAATCACATCAAATAATTTAAGAGTAGAGTAATCCACCCAGAGGCATCACCTACACACTCACTTTACGTTTTTTACATGTAGAGCTTACTCACTAAGTGCTGCCGTTCACTACAATCTCCTGACTGGAGGACTCACCCTGAGCTAGTTTTTAGGATTTTTAGAACTGTGTTATATCAATCAGGTCTAAGAAGTTAATCCCAGGACTTTATGTTTGTTTACAAGTTTAAATAAATTTCTCATGTTATCCTGCATTGTTTCAGATGAGAGTGTGACCATGTTTGGTTTCATAACCACTTCTTTAATTCTAGTCATAGTTTAGTCCATGGAAAATCATTCATCATCTCTCTTCAGCCGTTTTTTCCGGTAAAATATCTTTAATATATTTAAAAAGCCATGCATATTATTTTTTTTACTTCACACTTCCTGGTTCTTTAGTAAGTGGGGGTGAATTGGAATTTGGCACTCTTAAAGTTTCAAGATTTTTGCAGCAACTTTTAACACTCATAACTTCATATGGATACAGGAGGAGACTGAAGCATGGCGTTTTCAGCATTGAAAAAATTACATTCAAATGAATTCTACACTGGTGTCATGATTTTTCTATAGCATACTTTGAGGATCAGTGTCGTGGGATATCAGGATATTAATAAATTGCACCAGTTTAATGTTGGTGACGTAGAGAAACAGAAACAAGTATCGGTACCCTGTATTTTTGATGTGTTTTCTGATAATTCACTGGAGGAAACTTAAAAAAGGGAATTCTGGCTACATTTTGAAGGCTTATATCACCATGTGGTATAGGTGGTTGCTCAGTGTTTAAGGACAACACTTTCTCAGCATCTTTTCAACAGCAAATGTTGTAAAATCCAAAATATGCGATATAATTCCAAAAAATAAAAATCAGGTCTGCTTGTCAAATGCAAACAAAACACTATGCATCACATCTAAACTGACAGAAAAAAGTATCACTTTAAGAGAAAAATTAGCTGATTTTGAATTTGAATTCAACAACATTTCTGAGACTTAAAAAAAGAAGGAGAAATATTCATGAGAATTAAGTTTAATTTAATATACATAATTAAAACAAACCACTGTAAAAAAAAATGTACTCTTAAAATTTTAGCACTTACAGTATAAGTGAAATTTTGAGTTAGTGTGGCTCGTTCTGTACTCACCAGTGTTTGAGTCACTTGCTTAGAAAGAAAAGATGAACACTGTTTGATTTTGAGACACAAATCCAGAGCTTTCAGCTGTAGTACTGCTATTACTGCTTTTACTCACACTAACATTAAGTTTCATTTCAAGAATTTTACGTTTAATTTCCTATTATTTCTCCAACTCTTCCTGCAGGTGTTTGTTAAGGTTTTGGTTCCTCTTTCAGGTCCACAGATGATTATAAAGTGCTAGAAAAATGAAGGTAATACTCGATCACAGCAGTATAAGAGAAACTCAGTTAAATTCATAATCTTTCAGTCCTATTGAGGAGATACTAAGGTTGTTACACAAGAAGAGATGGGCAAGGATGAGTGTATAAACCCAGCAGTACCAAACTGTCAGAAACAGACTCTGTGAGGGTGGCATGAGGGACTGACGTCCTTTAGTGGGTCCTGTGCAGAGCCGTGCAGCTTGATTGACATTTACTTGTGAACACTAGAACCAGCAGGTTGTCCAGTGGTGTGCCGGTTGTCTTCACAGATGAAAGGAGGGTCACACTGAGGACATGCAACAGAAAGTCTGGACCTTCAACATCTTCCACCATGACCAGTTTGACAGTATGCTGAGTAGGCAGTTCACTGGTGATCAAAGCACTGATGAGAGAGGATGCTGCAATTTGCATCAATGGAAAATAAATTTGACAGTCGTCCGCATAATAATGGAAGCAAATATTATTTTTCTGTAAAATTATTCCAAGTAGTAACAGGTACAAATAGAAAAGGACAGGTCCAAGAATAGAGCCTTGTGTAATCCCGCCAGAGGAGGGCAGCAGAGGTGTAGGTAAAGGTTCTATCAGAAAGGTGGGTCCTAAACCATTGGAGAGCTGAGCCAGTGATGCCCACCCACTGCTCCACCCCGGACACGCGGATCTCAAAGAACACAGCGTTAAAAGGCAGCTGTTCAGTCCATAAGCACAAGTAGCACACAGTCACCAGAAGCTATTGCTAAAAAAATATAACATTAAAAAAGCCTTAATAAAACATACTGATTGCTTTGGTGAGTTTTTAGTCCTGGCTGGAACACTTCCAGAATTGCACATTCACCCAGGAAGGACTTCAGTTGGGTAAAGGCAATTTTTTGTAGGAGTTTAGACAAGAAAGTTAGCCTGGAGACAGCCCCTGAAACAAAACAGAATGGTCGAGGCCTGTTTTTGTCAGCAGGAATTGCCCAAAAATATTTTTACAAAAGGTCAATGTACTGTTAATAATGGCAAGAATAAAAGGACCAAGGGTAGGAAAAACCTTCTTAAGGAGTTGAGGAGGAATAACATCAAAGGGGAATCGTGATGGGTTTATACTGGAAATGAACTGTTCTAATAAGGAGAGACAGGCTCAAAGTGGTCAACAAAAGCCAAACAGGGTGTTGAGATGGATGGATCATATGAAGGCCCTAGTGCTTACAACTTTCTCCAAAAAAGTGAAGACATTTGTCACAAACTGAACTGGAAGTTTCCAGTCCTTCATCCCTCCATATGAACAGTTTCATGAACAATAAGAACAGAATTTTTAACTTTGATTGTTTACAGTTTAAGTTAATGCTACTTGAGTTATTGTGACATGTCAGTGTGAAATGAAAGGTGTAAAACTCCAGCAGCAAATTTGATTGGTGCATTTTCTTTTCGTAAACATCACAGTGCCTAACTTTTCCTCCTTTTGTTCCTTTTCAGTAGATTTAATGATATTATTTATTATTGGGTCGAAAGGGAGAAACACTTTTGTTTTGTACTGTGTTTCATGTAGTGTGTTACCACAATACTTTTTATAGTATTAGCTTTTATATGCTCAACCTGATGAGATCACTCTTACTAACACCGCCAATGAACACACATATATATATATACGTATATATA